TGAGGGCTCACGAGCACTTGTGGGCTGTCTGTGGCTGGCATTTCCCTGGTGTCTGGCCTGTGTCCGGCAGAGGGCTCTGCAGGAGGGTCAGCTCTGCTGAGGGCCGTGGGGAAGGGGCCTGCACCTGGGGAAACTGAGTCCTCCCTCTGGTTGGCTTTAAGTTGACTTGCATTGGTCTCTGCACCTGGCTGCTGCTGGGGCCAGGCAGGGCCCTCGTGTAATGCCGCCCACCCTGGTTCAGGGCAGCGGAGCTGGGCTTGTGAGCACACACATCTACACACAGACAGGCCCATGCACTGGGCCAGGGGCCAGGGGACGCCTAGCAAGGGTGCGGCAGGGCAGGACAGCCACGCCCCAGGGTAGAGGGTGGCCCCGAGGCCCAGGGCTACCCATCAATTTATTCATCCCTGAAGACCCCTGGAAACGGGCATTCCCAGTCCACCCTGAGGTGTCACTCTCAGAAGCCCCAGAATGCAGCGGCTCTGTCTTCAGGCATCTTTTAAAGGGACATGCACTACAAAGGACCTTGGTACTGGCAAAGACAAAAGTCCCTCCTAGAGCAATTGTGCCATCCCCTGACAGTGGGTGGAGGCCTGACACAGGCCACTTCCCAGGCCCCTCCCCCATCTGGCTGGCAGCTTGTCAGTGTCCCCTCACTCATTACAGTTCACCTTGCAAGAGGATGAGATCAGTCTGTGCTTAGCATCCTGGACATTTGCCTATTTGAACTCGGATACACTTCCTGCCCTTCCCCTGCTCTGCTCTGTATTTGAGAGGTGTAACCCCTGCAAACTACATTTCCCAGGCTCCCTTGAAACTGGCTTCCTGTTAGGTCTGACCATTGGGATGCACCAGTGGGAGAGGGGAGGGCGGGATCAAGGGAGAAGCCAGGGTATTCCTCCCATCTCTCTGCATCTCCGCAGTGGCTGTGTCTCCTCCATGGTACCCACTCCTCCCGATGGCTCTGGCCTCTGGACTCGGAACACCAGCTCTTCCCTTTGTCCCTCTAGCCAGCGGCTTCTTACTATTGCCCATCTCTGTGTTGCTTCACAGTCCCCATGTGGCTTTTCAGCTCATCCAACACCATTGTTTCCTGTATTTTCCTCTGTTGAACTCCCTGGCTTGGGCTCTATTTTCTGGACTGGATCCTGATAAACTTACCTTCATTGCTTTCTTTTTAAACTTTTTCCTTCATAAAGAACAGAGTGCAAGATAGCAGAGGGAGTTTTTCCAAGCCCAGAGTCACAAGTGGCTCTGGCAGTTAGGAGCCGTGTAATTGGGCAAAAGTGATAACGTCTCTGAGCCTCAGTTTCCCATTCTGTAAAATGGGGTTAATAACAATGCACAGGAGAACGTGTTGCTTTCTTGTTTCCCTGGGTTGTCTCCCTGGGTTCTAGCAGGGAGTGCCAGGGTCTCCAGACTTGGGTAGAAGATAGGAACAATTTCACTAGCAGAACCGGGCAGGGGCCTCCCCCTTCCACTGCAGCAGGGTCCTGGCCGGGAAAGGACCTCAGGACTGGGCTGCTAGGGGTGGTGTGTAAGGACAGACGTTTCCTTGGACACTGCCTGGCTCTGCATCTGGAGCCTTGTCTTTCACCAGGGAGCACGCATCTGGCCAGAATGCGAGAGGAGACTGAGATGCTCGGCTCAGCAGAACTGCTTCCCTCCAGGAGGCCAGTGGCAGGTGCCCGGGGAGGTGCTGGATCTTTCTCCTCACCCCCCACTCCCACGTCCCTCCTCCCCTGGCAGCCCCAGCCCCACTGTGGTCCTCGATTCTCCCTGTGAGCATAGAACACTTCAGACAGGGAGCAGTCAGGCCTGGGGAGGCAGTGAGGGGGTGGCGGTGGGCATGCTGCACAAGGGAGCACCCCGGTCCTTCCCCTGGGGCTGGTCACAGACACCGCTGCTCTGTGTCTAGTGCAGCTGGTCCAGCCGACTCACTGGGTGGCCCTGGCTGAGTTACTCTCTGGCCTCCACGTTCTTCCGCTTGTGTGATGAAGATGGTGATTCTGTCCTTTCAGGTTCTCGGGCTGTTAGGGTTGATGAACATAAAGTGTTCACAGGCACTGGGCACGGGATAATGAGTTGGTGTTCGTAGCTCCTGCTTTTACTTCCGTCCCTTGCACATGTACCACCGGCACCACCACTGCTGGTGTGTGATGTGGACAGGAGCCCTCGGGGGATGAAGGACGTCTGGAAGTAGAAGCTTGAGCAGCAGCCCTGAATCTCAGAGCTCAGTGTAGCCTGTGGCCTGGGCCTTGGCGGGTAGAAGGAGGGGAGTAGCGTATCTGGTGAGGTGGTGACCAGAGGAAGCACCAGCCTCTTTTCCAGAAAGTCTCCGCCTCCCTGCGCCCCTCAGCCCCTCCACTGATGTCCAGGCTCTGCCGTGGGACATGCTGGCCCTGACCATGTTGTACTGAGGGGGCATCTGTCAGCCCTGTCCCCAGGAGGCCAGCCTGAGTCCTTACCCTGTTCCATCCCTCAGCCGGCAGGCAAAGTCACAACCCTCTGGGAGGAGGAAGGAGAAAAGCAGACCCCTGGGTGTTCCCTGCAGGTTTGGGCTGGTCCCTGAGATGTGGGGGCCATGGGTCTGGTGCCACCGCAGCCTAGCATGGCTCGCCTCTACTCCCTGAGGGAGTCGAGAGCAGCCCCATCCAGCCAGGCTGCTCTCGACTCCCTCACTCTCCTCTCCTCTCCTTGGATCTTCATAGCCTCCTTCTTGCTGATCTTCTCTGCTTCTCGCGGGTCCTCCAGTCCACCTTCCACTCTGCGGCCACAGCCATCTGTCTGTGCGCAGATGTGACGATGCCAGTCCCCACTTCCAGCCCTTCAACAGTCACTCGTGGAGGGAGGTCCACTCTTCCCTTTGCCATCCAAGGCCCTTCTGGTTTGATGTCAATTTGATCATTCCCAGTGATTTCCTTTGTGTCCCCTCCTGCCCTCCGGCCACATGGACTTGTTTTCTGTCCCATGCAGATGGCAGGGCTTTCCCACCTTGCTTTTGCTCACAGAGGTCCACTCCCTGGAGCACCCCCTCCCTTCTCCGTTTGTTCAAATCCTGCTCATCCTCAAACCGCGTTTAAATGTGCCTTCTACCTCAAATGTTCACCGCCTAGAGGTCAGCTCTCCCTCCCCTTCTACCTCGCCCCTGCCTCACTCTTAGATGGCCTACCTTATGATGCAGACATTTGTGAACATGGCGTATCTCCCCTGTGGGACAGAAAGAGATTCTTGAAGGAAGGCAGAGACCATGCTGATTCATCTCCAAATCCCAGCCTGGACCTGGATCAGAGGAGGGCACAGTGGCATCTTTGACTGTACAAGCATCTGTGCACACAGCTCCCAGGCACATACACCCATACTCAGATACGAGTCATGTGTAGAGTCAAGTCTCTGCAACAGGAATTCTGTGTAACAAGCCTCCCAAATCTCAGGGGCTCATAGCAACTTTTTCTTGCTCGTGGGGCTGTGGGTTGCCTCAGGTGCAGGTCTGAGGGTGGCCTGGGCCAGGGGATTGGGTGGCTCCAGATCTGTTTCATGTGCCAGCAAGCAGAGACCTAGGCTGAAGGGGCAGCGGTCATCTGGGACAAGCTCTTCTCATGGCAAACTAGCAGGAGTGTGAGTGGACAAACCAAACAGCAAGACCATTTAAAGCCACTGCTCACGTCACATCCACCAATTTCCACTGGTTGAAGCAAGTCTCAGGGCCAGGCCTCACAGAAGTCGGGCAGCAGGGAAGCATACCCTGCCTGCTCTAGTGGGAGGGACTGTAAGGTCACAGGACGAAGCTCAGCTCTGTTATTGGAGGGAGTGAAGAACTGGGAGTCGTCCAGCCCAGACTCCCAGAATAAAGGCCACACGGGTTGGCGTCCATTCATGCTTCTGTTCTGCTCAGACACATAGATTGTTCCCCATCTTCTGATGAAATATATGACTGAGTGCTGGTGTCCTCACCTCTCTGTGCATCTGTTTTCTCAGCAGCAAAATGGGGATTATAATACTTCTCTTAGAATGTTGTATGAGGTTTAATAGACGCACAAGTTAAACACTTAATTCTCGATAAAAGTGCTCAAAAAAAGCGAGCTGCTGCTATCATTACTACTACTACATAGCCCGGCACCCACTTACAACACCTGCTCCCCAAATGCCTCCCATCCGCAGCCACACCACTACGGAGCGTGCGTGTGTGTACGCACAGCAAGCATGCACAGACACCAGGGGTTGCAAACTGGCAGCCCGCTGGCTGCATCTGCCTGTAGACGTGTTTTGTTTGATCTCTGTACAATATTTTAAAACGTGAGACATTTCACATAAAAATAACAAATTTCTTGAGGTATCTTCACAGGTGGTGAATATAGTTGGGGAGTGGATAACATCTCCCAGAAAGAACGGGTGGGGCGAAAAGATGAGTGGGCCCAGGTGGAAGCATGAATAACCCAGCATTTAAGGGTTGGCTGGAAGACTAGATGGCCGAGATGGAACAGCCAGGGAGGCAGGGAGAGAATGTGTCCGCAGGAGCAGGGAGGGTGAGGGGCGCAAGGGCTGCAGGCGCCCGCCAAAGCCTTGTGAATTGGATTAGCAGCAAGGAGGCCGCTGGGACTTTGTTGGGGGCAGTTTGGGGGTAGCAGAGGCATAGGCAGGATTATAGGGGATTGAGGAGGGAGTGATGGGAGGTGAAGAAGTGGAGAAAGTGAGTGTAGCAAACTCTTCCAAGAAGATTGGCCGGGAAGGAGGAAGAAGAGTTGGCTGGGGGCCAGGGACGGGACTGGGATTAAAAATGGTTTTCTTAAAACAGGAGAGGCTTCAGCATATGTAAATACTGATGGAAGAGATCCAGTAGATCAAGAAGTTAACGACACAGGGAAGAGGAGATAATGACCCCTGGGGGACTGAGGTGGGTCAGGGAGCCAGGTTCAAGTGAAGTGTCAGCCTTAGAAGGGAGAAAGGACACCTGCCCCACTGTGACCAGAGAAGAGGTCGCCCAGCTAGTTACTGCCAAGATGGCGCTGGGGCTCAGGCTGCCTGTTTTGCACATTCAGTCAACAGGTATCTATCGAGCGTCTGCTCTTTACCAGGCACCATTCTAGCAACAAGTGAAGCAGACAAAAATCACTGCTTACATTCTAGTCATAGGAGAGAGAGGATAAACACATTTTATAAGAAAATTGTACAGTTTATTAGAAGATGAGATGTGCTACGAATGAAAATAAAGGGGAATGGAGAGCGCCGAGGGTCGGGTTGCAGTTTACATAGGATGATCGGGGTAGGCCTCACTGGGAAGGCACCATTTGACCAAAGACTTGAAAGTGGTGTGTGAGCAAGCCCCGCATGAAGCTCTCTGGGGAAAGCGTCTCCTAGGAAGAGGCAAGAGTGTGCAAGAGGCTGAGACGGTGGCACGCCGAGTGCTGGAGGGACTAGGTTGGCTGGTCACGTGCTCACTGCAGAGATAGCTGGGACAGCAGTAGGAGCTAAGGTCACAGGGGCCACTGGGGGATTTTGAGCAGAGGGTGGCATGATCTGACTTACATTTTAACACAGTCGCTCAGGCGGCTGTGTTGAGAATAGACTAAAGGATGGAGCATGGCAAGAGGGAAAACAGGGAGCCCGGCAGAGGCTGCTTCTATAATCCAAACAAGAGAGGATGGTGGCTGGGGCTGGGGTGTTGGCAGAGGAGGTGGCGAGAGGCGACTGGATTCCTGACGTGTTTTGAAGGTAGAGCCAACAGGGTTTGCTGATGGCACGAGTGAAGAGTGAAAGAAAGAGGGAAGTCAAGGATGCCACTAAAGTGTTTGACTTGAGCAACTGGAAGACCGAAGGTGGCAATTCTTGAGGTGGGGAAGGCTGTGGGGGAAGCATGTGTGGGGAGAGGCGGAGAGGAAGAGTTCCATTTGGGCACGAGTTTGATGTGTCTATTAGATGTCCACGTGGAGATGCCAAGTCAGCAGTGGTATGGATACCTCTAGATTCAGGGGAAATGTCCAGGCTGGAGATATAAATGTGGGAGTCATCACTGTCTAGGGTTGTTTAAAGCCATGAGACCGGATGAGATCATCAAGGACATGAGTGTAGTGAGAAGAGAAGAGGTTCCAAGACTGAGCCCTGGGCCTTCCGGTGTTAGAGGTCAGGGGGAAGAGGTGGAACCAGAGGAAACAACAAAGAGAGAAGGAGACAGCCAGTGAGGAGGAGGAAGCTGGGCTGGGCTGTCCTGGAAGCTGAGAGGAGAGCTGTTTCTGGAAGGAGGGAGTGATCAGCTGGGTCAAGTGCTGTGGTGTGTCAAGTAAGATGAGGACTGAGAAGTGACCACTGGGTTTAGCAACATGTTGGACATTGTGATTTGACAACAGCAGTTCAGGGGCTGGTGGGCCTGGAGTGGGCACTCGGAACGTCTCAGGATCCTCCTTTGGGATTAAATGGGATGGTGTATGCATTCATGCCCTGCACACAAGAGATGGCCTCTAAATGCTGGGACATCTGGTGGCTGAGTGGTGGGAATCCTGCAATGGCACAGAGGATGAGAAGGTCGGTTTTGGAGTGTTCCAGTAGACCCCAGGGTTGCTGCCCTGCCCACCCCCCTCCTCTGGAGGGGAGCAGGTGCCCTGCAGGGCCCTTCATTTCCACCATCTCTCCAGACCCTCTTCTCCTCCCAGCAGATGAGCCGACCTCGCCCAAGAAGCCCAAGAGTGTCCCGGAGCCAGAGCCCGGCGATGTGGAAGGTGGACCCACCTCTCCCCTGCCCTCCGAGTGGACCTCAGTGAGGATCAGCCCCGGGGAGAACGTGGTTGGGCAGGACATGATGGCTGTGTGTGTCCTGGTCACCAGTGACGAGAGCAGGTATGCTCAGGCTGCTGCAGGAAGGGGCAGAACAGGGGTCGGATGAGGGGGACAACATTCAGAAGCTGGTCTTCTCTCCACTCACTTGTAGTGTGACCTCTCTATGCCTCTGTTTCCTCATCGGTAAAATGGGGACAATCATAACACCTGTCTCATAGGGAGTTGCAAGGATCAATTAATCTATGTACAGTGTGTAGAACAATTCCCAGCATATAATAAGCACCATTAAGTGTCAGCATTTGCTCCTTTCTCATAGAGGGGAAAGGCTGTGGCCCCACTGTCTTCTCCCCAGGAGGCAATTGTCATGTAGGCTGTGGTGAGCGGTGCCAAATGGGTGTCACCTGTCACAGTAAGATGTAAGATGGTGATGCCTGGTGATGGGGAGGCTCAGCTGGGGATAGGAGTGGGATGGAGAAGGGACACAAAAAATGAAGCCCTGGTGCCTTAGATGAGTATTTCTCAGGATGCTGTCTTTACCACCACATCAGAACCACCAAGAGTGGTCATTGGGAGGGCAGACTCCAGGCCTCCCCGAATACTGAATCCATTCAGGAGGTCAGCCAACCTCCTGATTCCCAGTCAGTGGGTACTGATTGCTCATTATGTACTAGATACAGCAGTGACCAACACAAGACAAAGGCCCGGCTCTCACAGGGCTTTCATTCAAATTGGGTAGACAGCCAGCAAACAAGTAGTTAAGAGGGAAAGTATCACATAGGTGCCAGTAGAGGAATAAATAGGGGTATATGATAGTGAGTGACTGGTCAGCTACCTTAGCTTGGGTGGCCAGGAAAGGCCTCTGTATCAGTTATCTATTCCCACAATCAAGCTGAGTGACAAACTGCCCCAAAGGTTAGTGACTTATAACAAACACCACTTATGACACTCACGATCCTGTGGGCCAGCAGTTTAAGCCAACTCACCCGGGCAGTTCTTCTGGTCTCAGCGGGCTCCCTTGTGTATTTGGGCCAACAGGGCCCTGGTTCTAGAGCATGGCTAGCTGTCGGCTGGGGTGCCAGGGCGCTGTGGGGCCGTGGGTCTTTCATCCTCCAGCAGGCAGCCCATGCTTGTTCCCGTGGTCCTGAGAGACAGCGTCGGGTAGTGCAGGGTCTCCTGAGGTCTGGGCTTGGGCAGCGCAGTGCTCTTCCCGTCATGTCTGATTGGCCATGGCAAGGCCGGCCCAGATCCAAGGAGTGGAGAAACTGCTCCACCTTTATGGGAGGAGCTGCAAAGGCCCGTTGCAAAGGGGTGTGGACCCAGGAGGGGAATGATTGCAACCATTTTTTACAAACAATCAGCCACAGCCTCCCTGAGGAGGTGACATTGAAGCTGAGAATTGGTTGCCAAGACGGGACAGTCGTGTGAAGATTGGCAGGAGGGGAATGCAAGCAAGGGGCAGCTAGCACACAGGCCCCTGGGTGGGGGTGCGCCTCATGTCTCTGAAGAGACAGAAGGTCCGAGTGGCTGGCACAGAATGAGGGGAAGAAAAATGAGATATTATACCAGAAAGCAAGGCTTAGTGAGGCAGGGCAAGGAGTTTAAACTTTATTCCAGGTATAATTGAAAGCCGTTAGAGACTTCTTAAGTCAGAGAGTGACATCTCCCTTACGATTTCCAAAGATCAGCAAGCCTTGGTGTGGAGAATGGATGGGGCGGGGGTGGGTGGGAGTGGAGGCAGGGAGGCCAGGTGGGAGTCTGTGGCTCACGTAAGAGACGAGGGGCGTGGACTAGGGCTGGAGCAGTGGAGATGGATCTGCTGATGGACTGAATGTGAGGGAAAGAGAGAATTCAAGGGCCACTCCCAGATTTTGACCTGAGTGACTGGATGAAAGGTGCAGTCATTTCTAGAACAGTCTTGAGGTGGAGAAGATTTCAGGGAAGATGCAAGTTTGTGGAGAAAATGAAGAGTCCTGTTTGGACCCGTAGGGTTTGAGAAGTCTTTGTGCAGATACCCAGCAAGCAGTAGAACAGGTGAGTCTGAAGTTTCTGGGAGGCAGGGCTGGTGATAGCAGTCTGGAGGCCAGTGACCTACAGAGGCTGTTAAAGCCAAGGGAGCTGCTAAGTCCCTTCTGGAGTAAGAATATCTTCTTAGAGAGAAAGAAGAGCTGGGCAGGAGTCCCAGGGCATTTGAACAGTCAGTGGGCAAGCAGAGAAGGAGCTAGCAAAACCCACCGGAAGGAGAGAATCCAGGAGATGGTGGGCTGTGGAAGCTGAGAGAAGAAAGTGTTTCAAGGAAGAAGGTGTGGGTCACTGTGTCAGGTAAGAATGGAGATGTGACCTCTGGGTTTTCCAACAGCAGGATCATTGTTAACTCTGACAAATGTGGTCTCAGTGGAGTGACAGGGCAGAAACCTGATTGGAGTAGGGGTGGGGTATGTGTGGGGAGAAAATGGAGACTGTGGTGTAGACAACCAGTTCATCAGGTCTGGAGCATGCGGACTCTGGAAATGGGGCCTGGGAACACACATTTTAGCAAGTCCCATGGGTGATTCCGATGCCCATGAGCTACTGCCTCGGAGTGCCCTTGGCAGTTACCGAGACAGAAGCCAGGGCCCAGAGAAGGCAAGGCCCCTGCCCTAGGTCACACAGCGTTCTGGGCCCCAATTAAGCAGGACTGAGTCCATTGTGAGAGGCAGAAACCCAACTCAAACTAGCTTAAGTAACAAAGGCAAATACATTGGTTCATCTGGCTGGGAAGTCGGAGCTGGTCCTCTCTCCAGGCAAAGTTGGAGCCAGAGACTCCAACAGCTGCTCTCCGTTGCTGCCCCTCCGCATGTCCGATTTACAGCCATCACAGAGAGGCCGTCTCCACATGTGGGACTCTTGGCTCCCGAGGGCCTCAGCCCACATCCACAGATTCATGGCCATATATCAAGATCTCAAGGTAGACCTCCAGTTGGTACTCCTCATGATGCACGCCCGCCTCTGGGACTCATCAGTGACCAGGACTGGGATGCTGTGACCGGCGGGCTTGGGTGCTGTGAAGGATGAGGGGCAGCAACCTAGTAGAAAGATGCCATTGGACTTATATATAGAGAGAGTAAATATCTATAGTCACCAAAATGTCACTGCCCCACAGGTTTTGTGCTTTCCCACCCCGGGACTGTGCTTGTGCTGTCTCTGCTGCCTAGGACAGCCTGCTGCCCCTGCTCTGCCACTGGATTACTGCCAGTCTTTTAAGGCCCAGGTTGAATACCCACCTCAGTAGTCTTTTTTCTTCCCCCATCCATTCCCAGGGGAGGAAAGCAGTATGTAGATGCCTGAAGCTTTAGGACCAGGTCCCTGGTGATGAGCTCCTTCTACCCTGAGAGCTTAGGAGTCAGGCTCTGACGTGGGTGAAGGTGAGGACCAGCCTTCGCACAAACACTTCATCATACATCTGCTGGATTCTTTCCCCTGCTCTGATCCACCCCCGTATTCATGTGTGAGGGCTGCCATCAGGTACCACAGACTGGGCGGCTTAAACAACAGAGATTTATTTCTCACAGTTCTGGAGGCTGGAAGTCCTAGATCAAGGTGTCAGCAGAGTTGATTCCTTCTCAGGGCCATGAGGAAGGGTCTGTTCCGGGCCCCTCTCCTAGGCTTGTAGATGGGTGTCTTCATGCTCACATGGCATTTTTCTTCTATGTGTGTCTGTGTCCAAATTTCCTCTTCTTGCAAGGACACCAGTCCTGTTGGATTAGGGCCCACCCTAATGACCTCATTTTAACTTCATTACCTCTTTAAAGACCCTATCTCTAAATGCAGTCACATTCTGAGGTACTAGAGGTTAGGACTCCATATGAATTTGGGGGCACACAGTTCAGCCCATAACCAAGCCCGAGGTTGGGCACTGGGCACAGAGGTAACTAAACCACTGCCCTTGCCCCAGAACCCCATGTCTGCTGGAGGCAGTGACAGGCAGGGCACAGTGTGGATGTGGGGGGTGAATTGCAGGGTCCCTCACTCACTCACTCTCTCCTTCCTTCTTCCAGCTCTGATGCCGAGTCGGACTACGGTGGCAGTGAGGCCTCCAGTGTAGAGCCCTGTGGAGAGAGACCCTGGTGGCTGGAACCCCCACCCCTACCGAAGCCCCTCACCCGGCACAGCTCCCTGAAGGAGGCCCTTACTGGGGCATTCTCTCCACAGGGCCCTGAGGAGCACAGAGCCGTGCACGGTGAGCAGAGAGCCTGCCTGGGCTGGAGATGGGCTTGCTTAATCCTGGGACATGGGGAGGGAGCAGAGACGCCCCAGCCAGCTTTTCCTCGTGGAGGGTCAGGTGACAGTAGGTCTAGCCCTCAGACTCAGAGGCAGTGGGGCTAGGACCTTTGGGGACTGGGGTACAAGTTGGGGTGAGGGGACTGGACCCGGGCCTGGCCTTCTCTGTGAGAAGCTTTGGAATCTCAAGTGGGAAGGTAGCAGAGTGGCCTGGCTGCCTGTTTTGTGCCACAGGCAGGCAGAGATAAGGGAGACCCAGGACTATCTTGCCTGGAGCAGTCTCCTCTGTGAGTATCTCCTCAGGGTATCAGCCCCGGAGGGATGGGAGGGGGCTCAGCTGCTGTTGGACTCCATGCAGACAGGAGCAGCACAGGTTCCCTGAGGCCACCTGGGGGCAGCACAGGGCTGTTACGAGTGCTCGGGGCTTGTGGGATGCACTACCCACCCAATAATAAATGCACTTTGACTGAGTGCCTGTAATGGCCAGGACTTTTCCCCTACACAGCCCCATTTCATCCTCAGGACGACCCTGAAAGGTAAATAGCATTAAGCCCCTTTTACAGCTGAGCAAACGAACTGAGTGCTTTCCCGAGCTCTCCCAGCTGGTAAGCAGCGTGGCCCAGTCTGGCTGCCTCCACACCCTCAGTAGTAATTGTCTTTAGCAGCCCAGCAAAGGTGGCGTTGAATTGAGTGTTTGGATTCAGGCAACAGCCACAGTGACCTCTGGGTGGGAAGAAACAGGCTAACAGAAGGCTGCCACCATCAGGACCCATGGCCTTTGCTGCCCCGTGAGAGCGGAGCTCGCCTTGTCCTGCACCTCCCTCTAGTGGCCGGGAGCAGAATTTCCACCCGAACCTAGAAATGTTCTCACGAGTGATGGTTTCACACAGGGCTGGGGCCAGAATCCTGGAAACTCTGGATTTGTCCTCCCATGTGACCCTTTTTTAAAAAGGACAAATTGTCCTCAAAACACATTTGCTAAGTACCATTTGTGGTGCCTTCCAGAAAGTCTGACCACACGCAGTGAACAGAGTGCTGTGCTGTGCCCGGCTGGGTCCACCTGCTGCTGTCTGGATACTGCTTGGCCTGGGTACGCCCCTCGTCTCCCTGGGCTCCAGCATCCTCATTTATAAATACGAGGCCTGCCTGCCTTTCATCCTTTTCCTCTATTTCTCCTCTCTCCTCAATTGCCAGGGGAGTTTAGGTAACTTACAAGAAAGACAAAACAAAATTGTATGTCTCTCTATATATGAAAAATAAAGCCTCAAGATCAGGGTTAACCAAACCAGTTTAGGAGGTATAGGCTCCAGAGAGGAGGACCGTGGTCCTAAATAGTTGCTCTAGTGCAATCATAAATTTGATTCTGATTTTCTGGCAGTCAGAGTTTAAAATGAAACAGATAATTATTATTCTCACTGTTCACGAGGGAAAGTATGTTGGTTTGCAAGAAGCCTCAGAGCAGGTCCCACTTTTCTTAATGCTTCACTCTATAGAGATTTTCCAGCTCGTGTCAAATAGATGACATTGAGAGATGGGTTAGATCATGTCTTGAACAACTGCTCTGCGGAAAATGCAGCCACAGTTCTCTTGAGGGTGTTTCATGCAACACCTCCTGCTGGCCAGTGAGGGCATGACAGCAAAACATGACTCAAGAGCAGTCCCCCCGGGTGTTGGAGTTGGGTTGAAAGAACAAGGCAGTGTGGACAAAGCATTCTGTTTCTGACAGTCGGTTAATCCCAGGATGAAATATAGAGTAGACAGAGAAGTAGATAGACTGCACGACTTTCAAGCAATCTTCTGTCTGTTTTGTCTTCATCCATCATGGTTTTGATCATCAGGTGGACCACGCTGTAGGGTTAAAATCTCTGACATAGTCTAAGTGCTGTGTTTTCTGTTGCTGGTTATGGTGAGTCCATCACTTTCCCAGATAATGTAGGGTTGATGTCATGTCATGAGCTTCAATAATCACAATTTTCATCTGGATAAATGGCTCAGGGTTGAGCTGAGGGAATGCCAGACAAGACCAGGATATTGCTTTAGAAAGACTCCTGGTTTGTACACCCGTGCTCACAGCTGTATTATTCATAATCACCAATGGGAAAACGACCCAGATGTCCGTCAACAAATGAATGGATAAAAATTGTGTTATATCCACACTGGAATGTTATTCAGCCTTAAAAAGGAAATTCTGACACATGCTACAACATGGGTGAACCTCAAAGTCGTTATGCTAAGTGAAATAAGCTAGACACGAAAGGACAAGTAATGTATGATTCCACTTCTGTGAGGTACCTAGAGTAGTCAAAGTCATAGAGACAGAAAGTAGAATGGTGGTTCCCAGGGACTGGGGGAAGAAGGTGGGTGGGGAATTATTGTTTAATGGGTACAGAGTGTCAGTTTGGGATGAGGAGAAAGTTCTGCAGATGGATGGTGTGATGGTTGCACAACAATATGAATGTACTTAATGCCACTGAACTCTATACTTAAAAATGATTAAAATGGTAATTTTTATGTTATATACATTTTATCACAATTTGAAAAAAGGCTCTGCGATTACCTCAGGTCATCAAGGAAACTATCGCCTCCTCAAAGTTCTTTAGCATAGAGCATGCCCCAGATGATGGTCTGAAATAGAACTGAAGCCCTGTGTTACCGAGGCCACAGAAAATCTCAGTAACACTTCCTTAAAACACCTAGTTCAGTAGTTCTTAAAAATCTGGCTTAAAAGGCAGATTCCTGGCTTCCCACCCTGAGAGATTCAGATTGAGTGGGTCTAGAGTGGGGCCAAGTACCTCCATTTTATGTGAGCGCCCCGGGGCTTCCATACAGGAGGGCCCTGTCCACACTCTCGGAATCACAGAAGAGCAGCTTCCTAGAGGCCTGCCCGGGTGAGTTAGCTGTCAAATACACTAACTAAACAACTAAATGAATCGGTCTAGTGCATTGGCTTCTTGGACACAAACCAATTAGAGTTAGGAGGGCAATCTGCCCCCAAATTATTTGTTTAGAAAAATTGGTATTTATCCATTTTTTTTCCTGGCAATAATTTGATAACAGGATGGTCCAGTGGCCTATGGAGGACACTACTAGTTTTACCGATAAATGATATCATTAGCACCAGATAGCACAATGCTCACCCTCTTGCTCCTGCTCCCTTAAAATAAATATAAATCAATAAAATAGATATAAATAAAATATAAGCTAAAAAGAAGGGAACCAGCCCTGCTTTTTGCTGCTCGAAATTGCTGGGTCAAATCATTACTCCCTGCCCTATTTTTCCTATTGTAGAAACATAGGCATGTGTGCCCCCTAAACACCAGGGATGGAAAATTCTCATGAATTGTAGCCATTTCTAATAAGTTCCATCCCACAAAGTTAAAAGCTGGGGAGAAGCAATAAGGGCTTTAAGCATTCTTCTATGTTTCTTGAGAAATTTCTCCGGTAGGTGACAAAGAGGGCAGCTGAGGTCAGCAGGATGTGGCTGTGCTGGAGGCCTGCTTGCTCCTTACGCAAACCATCCAGCCTGGAAAGCCCCCACCTGCATGTGGTGGGAGGAGGTGGGCCTAAACTGTAGCTAGATGGTTAGTCCCGTGATGGGGAGATGGGGAGCCTACACCCGCGCCCATCCAAACCCGTGGGCTTGATTATGACAGCAGGCCTGTGGGACTGGGAAGCCACCAGATGGAGCAGGCTCAGGGTGTCTATACATGGGGTAAGGGAGGGAGGGGAGCCAAGGAGTTGGGGAGCTGAAGATCTTGTCCTGACGAAAGGAAGCCCCCAGCTAGTGGTTGACACCTGTGCACCCCGCACCCTGGCTGGTAAGAGCTGATGCCCAGCCCTGAGCACTGTCAGGGGGTAGAATCCAGGACTTTCTGCAGAGAGAGAGAGGGCTGGGCCAGGCTGAGCCTTGAATTCAGAAAGGTCTGCATTCAAACCTCCCTATGCCCATTCTCCCTCGCCCACATCATGGGGTACATTTGCATCCCACTGCACACTCTCACGCCCCAAATGGCCAAGACCCGTTTTCTTCTGCATGCGAAGTTCATTTTACTCAGCTAATTCTCAAGGCCCACCTGGGCACAGGGTCTTCAGTACATAGTCCACACCATCCTGCAAATGTGTTTCCATTGGAACCAGGCTAAGAGGAGGGGCCGTGGCAATGGATTGTCCAGAGGTTCAGTTAAAACTGGTTCTCAAAGTGTTTGGGGGATCCGAGGGGAAAGGGAGAGAGGGTGGAGCTGTCTGCAGCTTCCAGGCTTCCATGAGAGCAGCTGGGTTTATCTGTTACATATATGGGACACTGACATGAGACTTAAGCTTTGAAGAACTGCTCTGCTAAAAACAAACAAATAAATGTGTGTTTGTATATATGCATGTATGTATATGGGCATGTAGGAATACATGTATGCATATATATGTTTATTAATGATGGGTGAGTTAGAATGACGGCTCATAATTTGAGGCATTTTCGGAAAGAGGGCAGTACCTGTCCCACAGCAAGGTCTACAGTAATTATTTGATGAATAAATGAATGAAAAGTTGGAGGTGTGTTGTAGGGATAGGGAGGTATGGTCTGAGGAAGGAAGGAGCTCAGGCAATTATGATCATTAGTCTATTAACTTTTGGTAAACGGGCCATAGGAGAAAACTCCCTATTTATTCTACACGTTTAACAGACTCTTCCTCCCTCCCCCTCCCCTGCCCCTTTCTTTTTTCCACCACAGCTCTGCAAAGGGCCCACAGCTTCCAGTCTCCAACTCCCAGCAAATACCAGAGCTGGAGAAGAAAATTCCAGTCGAGTGAGTCATGAGCTCTCTGGGGTGGGGATGGGGGTGGGCAGTATCCTCTGGTTAATTCTCAGGGGCAGCTGTTCTCAGTCCTTACATCTCCTCTCTGACCTGGCCTCCTGGGTGTGAGGAGCAAGGAAAGAAATACCTGTTCTTGACTCTGTTGCGGCTGC